TAGACAGGGGTCTCTAGTGTTAAATCCGAGGCAGCATCTAGATACCTGGAGTTTTTTAAACTTCATAGACTATCCAGTATAATAAGTGCATATATAAGAAATAGCATGTCAGAAAGTTATGCAAATAGTAACTGTACAATGGTCCTGAAATAAGCTACTTCTAGTGTCTAGGTACTATACGTTATATTAACTAAACACATCTAATTAACAGTTCCCATACAAGCTATGCTTCAAGCTTAGACCACCACAACACTGACCATCTGGTTCCAAAGCTTCAACAATGTGTGCAGCAGACGGGCGATCTTTAGGATCCTCATTAGTACACACACAGAAGAGTTCAGTGACCTTCTGGTAGGATTCATCCAGTTCTTCCATGTTGATGGATGGCCTTGTCCCCAGAGCTGCATAGTATGCTTCATCATCGAAGTCACCCTCATCAAAGGTTGCATCTTCATCATCATCATCTGGAAGACTGATGTGTGGAATTCATAAAGTCATCATTTCCCACAGAGTAAGGCCAAAAGCAAACATATCTGCCTTGTCAGTAATAATGCCATTTTCCTCCAAGGCTTCCTTGGGTTTCCATGGCTCAGTGCCAATATAACAGGCCTCAGGATCAGTCACAGTCATATTTTCATCCAGTGGCAGAGAGACTCCTACATCACAGATTTTAATTGTTTCAAAATCACCTTTAATTACAACATTTGAAGACTTTGTCTCCATGAAGTAGCTTCTTTTCTTGATGCAGATAATTTAGCCCTCTTGCCGTGTGCAAAGCAACTCAGAATTACAGCTGCAGGAAAAGGACTTCCACTGTCTTTGTTCCGCTCTTCATTAGGTCATTCAGAGACTTTTCACCTCCATACTCCAGAGCAAGGCACAGACTACCATCACTGGCTTCAGTAAAAGCACGATACCCTGTAATGTTTGGGTGATTTAGATCAGTTAGTCTCTTCTGATACACACTTCAATATTGACCATCACATAAAAGATTTATCTTTTTCACAGCCCAAGAAGAATGAGACAACCTCTAGATCTTTTCATTAGGTAAACGCTGACCCCAGTCCCAAAGCCAAGCTCCTGCATAAATGGAGAGGCAGGGATGTTTGCACATGGAGTTGAACATAATACAGATTTCCTTTTTTCAGATAATTTGTTTGGTGTCTTGAAATTATTGATTCCTTCCATTGTAGCAATCACGTTAGGTCCACAGTCATACCCTCGGGTAAAAAGGTGAAAATGACGAGCTGGCTCAAAGCTGTCTGGACACCTAGTCTGGAAGGTGTAGTAGGGACAGCTCCCGCCAACTCTGTAACCCAGGACGTGAACTCTTAAGCTCCGAGGGTTGGAGGTCTGGTTTACTTGTTTCAGGTGTGCAGGGCTGTTAGCACTGAGGGAGCCAGCTCTGTGATTTTCATTTGAATAGAGTGTTATAACAGGAGTATCCACAGGGGCTGGCTACCCATCTAGTTCTAAGATTTTCTTGTGTCCATTGGTACATGGCACACATGGAATTTCAGGTCATTACCACCTCAATGAAAGGCCACTTACCACCAGCTACAGTCACAGGGAAAGAACTGATGTGTGGAGGAATTGCCCCATTTAGGGTTCACCAGCAGGATGTGGACTCTGCCTCCCAGTGCTTCGTAAGTTGGCTCTGGGGCTTGGGTGCAATATCTATGGATCGAGCTGGGGCTGGAAAAGATGATTCTGGGCTGAGCTCAAGTCTTCAGGACTCACTGGTGAAACCTAAAAATCTTTCTGCTTCCACCAAGGATGGAGAAGAGGGAATGAGGCTTGCCTTGGAACAGGTACCCCCAACAATGCCCAGGGCTCAGGACCAGAAGAGATGTCCATTTCAGACCCCCATTGACTTAGTGTGCAACTCAGTTCTCAGAGGCAGCTGCATGAGCTGTGGAGGGTCAGCACACCTGTGTGTCTGGGAGGGGACAGCATCCTACCCTACATGCAGCTGGGGACTCAGCCTTGTAACCCTATGTCCCTGCTGTGTGTTGTGAAGGGCCTCTAGCTACTTGCAATGGGATAAGAGGTGTCCTGACCCCTTCCTGGGTAGGGCTTCTCTTCTTTTCTCTCTTTTTCTAAGAGAGGATTTCTCTGTGTAGCCTCAACTGTCCTAGAACTCTCTCTGTCCACCAAGCTGGCCGCAAACTTGGGAGATACATCTCCCTATGCCTCTGGAGAGCTGGGTTTAAAGGCCACGACTCTGGGTAGGTCTTTTAAGCTCAGAAAACCTGGAAGAAATCTCAAGGAGAGACGTGGGGCTGGGTAGTCCTTGAGAGACCCAGCTAGCTGCAGGTCTTGGGTACAGCTTCAGCACTGATCAGGCTCCTGCCCTTGTGGGCCAGTGTATGTGACCTTCCACTTGCCTTACTCTGGGCACTGAGGATGTTACCATGTTCTTTGGGAATGGGAGACCACCTTCTCTTCATGAACCAAGGGCTGCTTCACTCTTTACAAGAGCAGATGGCCTCCCCAGGGAAGCAGTAGAGGCAGATGACTAGCCTGAAGGTATAGAAGGAAGGCTCTCCTCAAGCCCTGTCACTACCTTGCAAAGGCTGTGAAGAAACAGGGCAGCGACTTGGGCTCCCTGGGACTAGGGAAGGTGGCACAGCTAAAGCTGTAGTCATCAGAAACTTTTGACAGCCTCACTCAGGTGAGACCCTCCTGATCAAAATCTCTTATTTAATTTTTTTCATACAATGTATTTTTATCTTATTTTCCCTTCCCCCAACTCTTCCCAGATCCCCTCCCAGTCACCCAACTTCATGTTCTCTCTCTCCCTCCCTCCCCTTTTCTTTTTCCTTTCTTTCTTTCTCTCACCTTAAGTCAAACAACAACAAAAAAAGTACACAAAAAGCCATACAGTCCACAATCTCTTTAAAAACAAAACAACAAAAACCAAATTGTGCTGAGGATGGAGAGTGGCTCACGCCTTTAGTCCCAGCACTTGGAAGGCAGAGGCAGGCGGATGATCTCTGTGTGCTGGAGGCTAGCCTGGTCTCCACAATGGGTTCTGGAACACCCTGAGCTTCATAGTGAGATCTTGTCTTGGAAAAAAAATTGATAAAATATAAAATTAGCCATCTTAACTTTATAGTTTAGCCACTTTGAATTTATTATTATGACTATAAGTAAACACAGTTTAATCAACCCCAAACCTTTTCATCTTTCCAAACGGATACTGTTCCATTAAAATACTAACTGCTTGGGCTGGAGAGAAGATGCACGGTGGAGCAGAGTTCAGTTCCCAGCACCCAGCACCCAGCTCACCACTGCCTGGCAGTTCAGGTCCAGGCTATCTAATCCCTCTTCTGTCCTCTGAGGGCACCTGCACACACACGATGCTCCCAGCATGCACACACACACACACACTTTAAATAAATACAAAAATAATCTTGCCATGTGTGGTCGTGTGTTTCCCCAGCACCTGGGAAGCAAAGGCACGTGGATCTCAATGAGTTAAGGCAAGACTTACATATGAGCTCCGGGCCAGCCAAGGGCTACTACATAAGAAGATCCTGTCTCCATTTGCCACCCCCCGCAAAAAAAAAAAAAAAAAAAAAACTTTTAAAAAGTTCTCACTTCCTATTCCTCCTGAGATAGGATAGAAAGGGAAATTATGGAGATGTGAGGAGAAAGAGGAGCCCTTTCCCCAGGAGTTTGGTTGAAGCCTCTTACCAACAGAGGAGCAGAATTCCAGCACAGTTACCTGCTCAAAGCCTTCCTCCCTCTGCACTTACATATCTGCAATTTTCCTGGACTCTCACTAGAAACTTTAGGAAAAGGACATGCACAAAACTCATGCAACCAGTGGCTCCTGGCTTTATCAGATAATTCCATCCAAGGTATGTCTGAAGCCACCCCATAATCACACACACACACACACACACACACACACACACACACACACA